CGTCTTCTTCACAGGACAGTAAAGAGGAAGCACAAGTTTCGGAGAATGCCAGTCACACGGGTAGAAATGAACACAAGCGGGAGTTCCACGTTCAAAAAGGAAGTTCAATGTTCTCTCCTCCATTGCCACTAAAAATGGAACCTTGAGCTCGGTCATGAAAACAATGGTTTCTATTGGTTCAATGTTCTCTACCAAAGAAGATAAATTTTGTCTTGTGGAAATTGTACTACTTGATTCAGCTTAGGTTTCAGCTTTCTCCAGGAACATTTGTGAGGGTTCTCTCTTAGTTTGTTCGTTCGGTCTTTCATTTTTGCATGTCAGTTTGTTTAGATCAGCTTGTATGCTTTTTTTTTTGTAGCAATCTATGAAAAACTTGCACCCGAAGCTTCTAGTTATTGTTATGTGTTCTGCTGTTTCAGGCATTATTATTGTTAATATGGTCTTTTGAGATGCAAATTCATTCATAGTTGCTATTCAGATTAATCAAGGGTCAAGAAGAATTCAGATCTTTTAACCAAAGAGATTATATCAAAAGATACACAGTACTGATCTATCAACAACAATCATCTCTCTTTTGCACAGATTCTAAGAGTTTTTCCTAAGCATCAAATCTGAGTAATATCCGGATCATCATCATCTTGCTGTTCTGTTCATCGAGAGGTCAAGTTTATATATCCACCTGAGGGATTCGACCACCAGCTTGGACAATCTGTTGCTCAAGCTACAACAAACAATACAACAATTATTTCATCAATCCGAAAGAAAATAAACATCTCGAAGCTTTTCACTCACATTGAACAAATCTTGAAGCTTTGCCTTTAATGACTTATACTCAACATCCACCTGCTGCAAGCATCTCACACACCTGTAACAGAGATTGTACCCCAAATCAACCTCAACAGTCAAATGAACATAGTAGAGCTACGAGATCCGAAAAAAAGCTCACCCTTCATAGTTCTGAGAGTCACAACACTCCTTGAAGACAACACAAAGACCTTTGACTCTCTTGGCACCAACACTTGATATAAACAAGAAAGGGCAATTCACTAAGACTAAATCCGAGACTAGACAAGAGACCGAGATTATGGATCAATGTAACATACCTTGAGCTACTACCTTTGAGTTGATGTACACTAGAACCTACCAACTTGAAATCTACATTCCCTGTCTGATCTCTGAACATATACTTGACCAATTATCAAAACATATATATGCATTTTGATGATAACTAGTTATAAGAAAAAGTAAAAAAAAAAAACTTACAAAGCTCTAGCCATGTTACTGATAAGCTTCTCACAGTCTTCAAAGAAGAGAGTAACAAGCTCAGCCACAAAATCAGGGCTAAATTCATCTTGCATCTTTTTCAACTCAGTGAATTGATCATCTAGAAATCCCTTGACAAACCAAAATAACATATTCAAAAACCCATCTCATATATAATACTGAAACCAGTTCTTAAAAGCCTCAGTATCCAAAATACAAGCTTCAACAAGAACCCTAAACATAGTAGACAATCATCTTTGAAAAAGGAGACAATAACCCATTTCACATACACTGAAACCAGTTCTTTAAAACACACAATTTTCATAATACAGGCTTCAATAAGAAACTATAGAGAATCATTCGTTATAAAGGAGACACCTTTGAAACTTTCTTCACAAGAAAATAAGTCATTTGTACGGGCAGATGCTATATTTACTAATATTATATGTAAATTTACGAAAAAATTGAACCTGGTGATAGAGAGAAATAGTGTAATCACGAAATTGTTTCTGTAACTGAGCAATGAGAGTGTCCATGGCTACACGGAGAGAGAGAAGAAGATGTCAAGTTTGATAAAAGAAAAAAATGGAGCAATTTTCCATTGAAATTTTGGATTTGATTGAAATTTCAATCCTAATAAAGAAATTCTTACAGATCATAAATTTTTAGACACAAAATAATAAAGAAAAAAATCAACTTTACCATAAAAGAGAGAGAGAGAAGAATAATTAGTTGTCAAAAAGAATAAATTAGCTGTCCAAAAAAAAAAAAGAGAGAACTTTGAGAAAATGAGAAACATTGATTTGGGCCATGAAAATGGAATC